TAACACACCTCTAAATACACCTGTTCCACATTGCTGGATGCCTGGAGCCTCAATCCCAGCACCCTGGAAGGGCAGCAGGCCCTTGAAGAGCAGTGAGACATCACACCCTCTTCAAAACAAACACATTTCAGCTCATCTGGATATGAGACAAAAAACAAATAACCCTGCAAGGAAAGCAAGAGAAACAAGGATGCCAACCACAGACACTTCTTCCTGGGATTTTTTTTATTTTTATTGTTTTAGTCTTTTTTTTTCTTTTTTTTTTTTCCCCATTTTTTAGTATGGAGGCTCAAGTATCAGATGTAGATTCAATTTAAGCTTTACAAAAAAACAAAAAAAAAATCAAAACAAAAACCCCTTTTGCATTCCATAAAAATTGACAGAAAAGCGCCTTGGAACCAGAAAAGAAAGAAGAAATTTTCAGCAGGTCTCCAAATCACCATCTCCGGCACATCTGGGTGAGTCAGTATCGTACAATCCCAAGGAACACCCTCTCTTCCCTCCCTCCCACCAGCCAGCCCTTGTGCCCAGCCCCCAAACATACGTGGAATAGATTATTTTCTTTTTTTTTTTTTTCCAGTTCTTCCTCTTTCACACACCACAGTATTTAATAAATTTTTGTTTTACATTTTTTACACCAATGTAACAAAAGGCAGGAGGGGGGTGAGGGAGGAAAAGACAAACAATGATCCGTGGTGATGCATATAAACGGGGGAGGGTGGGAGACAGGTGGGGGAGAAAAAAATAATACATGGACTTCTACAGAAACATAGCCTAAGGTCTTGATAGTAAAATGTGGTGCAAAGTAGGCCTCAGAGACTGAAAAAGTTTGTACAGCTTTATTCATGGGGAGAAGATGGCGTTGCATGGAGAGTATTGGATGCAAATCGTGACGTGACGGAACAGAAAAGGGCAGGGGGGATGAGTTCTCTACCAAAGGAATCTAACGAGTGCATGGCATGTCTGGTTAGCACGGAGAGGATTTTAACTTTGCTGCTTTCTCTTCAAAGCCTCCACCAGGTCGTTTTTAAGAGCTTCTTGTTTTGATTTGTCTGCAAAAGTCTGCACAGACCTGCGAGGAAGAAGGAAAGGCGTGTCAGAGGTGCTGGATGGAGGGGAGGGGTTGGGGACAGTCCAGGCATGGAGGCAAGAGGGAGGAGAAGCACCTCGGCTCAGGCCCAGAGGGAACACTCAGCTCTGCCTGTTGGACCACAGGAAGCAGAAGGCAATGAACACCTGGGTGAGGACATTAAAGCAAAACTCACTCCAGCAAGGATGGCACCAAAGGCTTCCCCGGCAGCTCCGGCTGCTGGAGGGAGATTTCCAACATTTTATGTTACAGAAGAACCCCAGCATCCCACCAGCAAAGGGGGTTAGTGCTCCTGCTCTCCAAAAGTCCAGAGAAAATCCAGCCTCCACCCAAGGAGAAGGGAAAGGCAGGGGGAGTCCCTGCCCATCCTGCAGACTGTTCACCCAGGGTCGAGCGGCCGCCTCAAAACTCCCCCTCGGTGTTTGCACTGGTGGAAAAAGTAGCCAGAGGTTCTGGGCTCAAATTTGCCTTCTTTTGTACCTTCTCTAAGTAATGAGTGATCAAAGCAGCTGAAGAAGAACAGAGATACTGTCACAGGATTATTGCAGAGGTTCCCTTTGGATAGAAGTACAGAGGAAAAGCTCCATCTTCCAGGAGTCCCTCGGATCAGTGCCCTGTGAGATGGCTGTAGGGGAACCACTGATTCCAATGGGACAACAAGAATTTTCCACTTTTAAAAAAGACCCTCTTAAATGTGATCATGATAAGAATGATAAGACCAGACTTTTCCAGAGTTGCTACCATGGAGAAGTGGTAAGAATCCAGTTTGGTAAGATATTTCCTCACCCAAACCATATTTCACAGCCTTTTCAGTACTCAGTACCTGGGATAGTGGAAAGTGTCCCTGCCCATGGCGGGGGGATGGAACTGGATGAGCTTTAAGGGCCCTTCCAATCCAAACCAGCTTGGGATTATATGATTCAAAGCCTTATTTTCCCTGGATGCTGTCTCCTGTAAACAAGACTGCTCTTTATGGTGGATATTTTCCTACCATTTTTATAACAGTATTTCCATTCTCTTGTCTCTGGAGACTTCTGCTGCTTTAATAAAAACACATACATTTGATATTTGCATTTGTCACAGGCTGAAGAAGTGGTTCTTGGCCATTATCAACAAATAGTGAGTTTTCCCCTTCGTCAGCTTAATGGGTTTAAAACAACATCTGTAATTCATTAGAAGTGGAGTGGGAGGTTAAGGTGGCCCAGGGTTAGTCACTGCTGTGCATCCTCGACACTCAGAGCTCCAGAGCAAAGGAGAGCAGAGGAACAAACCCCTTCGGAGGCCGCGCAGAGCACAAGCAAGTGGAGGCTGGGAATGTTTGAGTGAGCTTGAGCAGGACTGGGTTTCAAGCTCCAAGGAAATTCAAGATCCACCAGGCAAACAGGGGATGTGGGATGTGCATGTGAGCTCTGAACTCATGGGAAGTACCAGTTGGGTTTTTTCCCAAACTGTGAGACTCCCAAGATTTCATTCTGCAGGGAGGACATTAAGATTACAGGAAGTTCCATCCT